ATTACTTTGAGTATATATATACTAATAAATTTTATAGAATTTTGCAATATTTTGATACTAATAAAATTTAATTCTTTTTACAGGCTCATGACTACTGCTTGAGATCATGGTGGTTGTTAGGGTAAGTTTTATATTTTATTTACATTATTTTTTTTATATTTATTTAAATTATTTTTTGGATTTGTTTAATGAGAAATATCCTCATTTCTAGATATTTTAAGATTAGCAAATTTGTATTTATTACACCTAATATAGGTGTCACCAATGCTAAAAAAGTAATATAAAGTAATTATAAAACTATGAAAGATTTGATTTGAAAATTGTTAAATCACGTAAATTTAAATTTTGATACTTTGATTCTAGTTAAATTTCAATTTGAACTATGAAAATTTTAGTGTAATATAATTTTGAATCGTAATTATTATTACATATTTATTTGTATCCATTTTTTTCCTGGTTTTTGGCAAAATTTCTCTTTCGCTTATTATTTTCATCACCCACAATTGAAAACATTTAATATATAAAATATTTATTAAATATCATTGAAAGCATTCATTTAAAAATACAACTTATTTGTCATTCTAGACATTTTTTTGCAATTTTTATTAATTTAGAATTATTAGATTTAATTCCTCATGATTCTCCTGACTGTGGAAATATTTGAAAAGTAACCTTCAATTCTTATATATAATACTATTCCAGTACATATCCATATTGATTAAAATAAAACTCTTGTCATCAATATAAAAACACTATTTATTAAACAACATATACAAAAAATATCAAAAATTTAACAATATCATAAATAAAAACAATAATAAGTACATGGAATGCCTTTAGACTAATCTAGGACTTAAACACTAAATCGTCTACAACATTTTACAATCAAGGATTATTAAAAAATAATAATTAGAATGATTTAACATCCAACATACAAACATCATTTATTCACATTAAATAATTATAACATTAACAATTTGCATCATTCATTAACAATAATTAGAAATAATTAGGCATTTTGTTTTGATGGCTGTATAAAAATATGAATATCAAACAGAAAATTTGATTTCTCTTACTAGGCCCAATTTGTTCTGACCAAGTATTAAATATACAATATTTGCATTGATTAAACCTAAAACATTTTAATTTCGAATGACTTTTCATATATAACAATTTATGGTTTCAACAATTTCCTTACGCCTCCGTTTTTTCTTTTGGCACACCATCAGCATCGATTTCGATAGAAGGTATCAATGGTGGTTTGAAACCACCAAATTCGATATTGACACTTTTGGGAAATCTTGTTTTATCCGGACTGGCATTTCTTCTGTATTTATATCCAGCCAAAGACGTAAAACTATTACCAAAACTCACTGGAGGTACAGGGCCGATATAATCAGAACTTTTGAAATTGTACCTGGCTTTACCTTTATGTCCACCAAGGTAGGAACTTACAAATTGACCAGGAATGTGACCATATGATTGCTGGAAGCCTAAAGCATACTTTTGGTCATGTAGATTAAATGTTGGCAAAGATTGTTGTTTAAAAGCATAACGATAGGAATTCAAATTTGCCAGGTTTTTGGTGTCATGAAGTGCTGAGTATGTAGCAAATGGATTTTTGTTGAAACGGTTGTTAAAACTTGTTAGATGATGAGAGTTGTGCCCATAAGCTTTGTGGAAGTCCCAAGGATTTTTGGCCTGAGCTGCCAATTGTGACACCAAAGGATTATGAGACCAGGCTTGATGGTTATGTTGGGAGAAAGGAATATATACAGGTCTGTCTATAAATTTAGTGACTTCAACAGGATACGGTACAGCAACTGCTTGTGGTACAATTTCTTTAACAGGATACGGAACTTTAACAGGTTTCTCCACAACTTTCTCGACTGGATAAGGCACTGGTTTTTCTACAATCTTTTCTACTGGATACGGAACATGCACAGGCCTGTCAACAACTTTTTCCACAGGATATGGTACATGAACATGCTTCTCCACAATTTTTTCCACTGGCACAGGGTATGGTACACGTTTTTCAACAGGATAAGGTACATGAATAGGCTTCTCAACAATTTTTTCTACTGGATAAGGTTTATCAATGTACCTGGTTACTTCAACAGGTTTTTCTACAATCTTTTCAACTACAGTTTCCACTGGGTATGGTATACGCTTTTCAACAGCATACGGTACTGGAACGTGTACATGGACAGGTCTGTCTACAATTTTTTCTACTGGATAAGGTCTGTCTACAATTTTTTCAACTTGGACAGGATATGGCACACGTTTTACGACAGGGTATGGCACTCGTTTTTCTACTGGAACTGCTACAGGAACAGCTACGGGTACAGGACGATCAATGTATTTTTCAACTGCATATGGTCTGTCAATGATTCTTTGCACTTCTACAGGATAAGGTACGTGTTTCTCGACCAAATAAGGGACAGGAACCTTTTCGACTACTTTTTCTACTGGCACATGTTTTTCTACTACAGTTTCTACATTGTCTACTTCTGGTGCAACTATGATTGGCTGTAAACGTTCTCCTTCTCCAACATTTTGGGAGTTACTCCTGGGACAAAATCTGATGTATCAACTTCTACACTCACCTCCGGTGGTGCTGGTCCATGATTTAGCTGCGAAACATGATTTTCTTGATTTACTTGTGCTAAACCAACTTCTTGTTGAACTACAGCTGGATGTTCCAAATGATCACTTGCAGAGTGTTGATCATTATTTATTATTAACTGATTATTTGTGATTGCAGGATGTATTTGATTATGCTCGACGTGATGTTGTACCACAGGATGTAATTTCGTAGATGGCTTAATTCTAGCACCAAATTCCACACTATTGATGAGGACTATTAGTGCTATAAGGCAAAGCAAAACCATCAGTATTCGAATTGTGGGAATACTGAGGCAATGTGTTGAGATAAGGGGTAGTTATGTGAAATTTCTATACTTTTATGTACTTCAACACTTGTAGCATCTTTATCATGAATATTATTACTGTGCAAGTGATGGACTGCAGTAAGAGGTGCTGCTATTGGTTGAAAGTTGTATGTTTTAGTTTGAAATGTTGCACTTCTGGACGATGTTGATGCAAACTTTCTGCGTGATGTGCAGGTGATAAATATTGTTGTGAATTTTTCACTTGTTGAGCTTGTTGTAATTGTTGCTGTGCTATTGCTTGATATTGTTGAACTGCTGCAATGTTGTTGCTGCTGCTGAATCTGTGCTATATATGTGTTGCTGTTGAAGAGCTGCAATATTGCTGTTGCTGTTGAATTTCAGCAAATTGGTTGTTGTTGAATATCAACATTGTTTACAATATGCTGTTGGGTTACTGATTGCACAGATGTTCGTGATTAATTTGCACCGAGTTACTGAGTATGCGAATGTGCGTTTTTGTTTCTGCTGAATGATCGACTTGGTTCGTTTGTATCAAATGCTGTTGAGGCTGCATTGTGGATTTTGTTGTTGTTGTAAGTTCTGTTGATGTACTTGCTGTTGTTGCGCCTCCTGCTGTAGTCTTTCTGCTGTTGCTGCTGCTGAAAGCAATTTGTTTCTGAACTTCTTGTTCCGATAATCCAACAATTTGCGTGCTATGCGGAGTCGAATAATGCACATTATGTGTTTGTGTATTACCATGATTTGCATTCTGATGCACTTGTTGTTGAGCGTGTTGTTGTTGCGCCATGTTGCTGTGCGTGCGTAAAAGTTGCTGTTGAGCTTGTTGTTGTATATGCTGCTGCGCGTGCTGGAGCCTGAAGTTTGTATTTCTTGCTGCGCCTGCAAATGTAGTTGCTGTTGTGCATGTTGCTGAATTTGTTGTTGCGCTTGTTGC